AGGGAACATTCCCCCAAGGTTTCAGCTTTCTAGCTTTTCTTGTTCCCGAGTTAGCAGTTTTCGCGCTCAAACTTTCACGTGCTCGTACGCGAGACCAGACGTGCGTGAGGGTTGAAACTGCGGTCCTGGGGTGGTACCTGGCTGGGGAACACATTGGCAAAATTTCAGCCTGAAAGTTTGCGTGGTTGGCGAGTTGAAACACCCCGACAGACGAACACACACACACACACACACACACGCACACACACACATACACACACCGACAGGGTCGTTGCAATATGCGTTTTTGATGCCTGTTGCAGCGCTCTAGCGCTGCACGACAAAAACGCATAAAAACCAACCACTCCGTAACATTGTTGATTTGTTTTGATAGTAAACTGGTACTGACTTATGCCAGGAAGTCAAAACTGGTCAACTGTTTTTTAGATTGAAAAAAGTTCCTTTCATAAATCTCTTCAGCTGATTTACTTTTGGTTAGCATCCTCTCATTCTAGCGGAATTTGGAGATGGATTTTCCGGTTGGGCTAAAGAATCAAAATCGAGTTAAACCACAAGAAAATGTCAATTTTACTGCAACTGTTCATAAAATTGTGGGCACTTGTGGTACCTGGCAACCATAAAGTACCAGTTAAAAGCGATCTAAAATTGACAATATTTTTACACCTGGTATTTTTGTTCGGGTTCTTTGTAGAAAGAAGAGAAATCCGTGGATTCAGCTCGTGGATTGTTGTGGACAGAGCGGCTGCCTGTCATCGATGGTGAAGATGGGGTACTGCAAGTGAGCAAATCCGACTTCATTTCACTGCAACCGTATCATTTTATCGCCGATCACGACTGTAAACTTATCCAGTGTGGCAAAGGACTGTAGTAAGTACTGATCACGGTGTACTGTAGATTAATAAAAGATTGTGTTCAATTATTGCCGCGAATGAAGACTCTTTCTTGCAAACCCCTAAAAATCTGACTTAAAAAAACCAGATTTTGAGCTTAGGAGATAATGATTCCTAACAATCCTAGCATTCGAAGTCAGGAGTCATAAAAATAAACATTTTCGCTTGACGAAATTGTTCAGGAATGGTGGGTATTTTTGTGGCTTTTGAATTCAAAAATTTCGGATAGCTGAAGTTTGGTTTTTAAAATTTCAGAGTGTTAAGGTTTAGAGAGCATTAAAAAATTGCAAGTTTCGAAAATTTTCTTTTCGAAAATATTTGCACACTTTTGGTCC